AGGGCCACATATTGAGTACTTTACTGTTATTGATAATACTTCTGTACTTTTAATCAAGTCAAATTTGAAATGTAGCACTTTTACTGAGTGTCTTTAAAGTGTTGCATTGATACTTTTACTTAAGGAAAGGTTCTGAATACCAGTGGGAAAGTGAGATTTACTAAACAATGAAAGTGAAACAGATAATTGTGACTCCAAGCACTGAAATAATTTGGTGATTCATCACTTCCATCATAGTGAAATTAACTGATGACAATTGTGATAAATGGAGCGAAGCCTGCGAGCTAGTTCAGGCAGTCAACTCGAGCTGCGCACAGGTCTCACTCCATAATCACTAACCAAGCGCACCCTTCCAATCTGGCGGTCTATTTAAGCAGCAAAATTTCCCAGCTCTCCCTCTGCTTTGTCTTGCATCACTTTGCTGCTACTCTCTAAGCTATCGCTGCCTGCTGCACTGTAAGCCCCACCACCACCCCAGCATCCACCTGTAGGCTCGGGCTAGATAGATATATACTTTATTAATCCCCTATTGGGGTAATTCTTCTTTTCACTCTTTTTTATTCTTACACACACACAAACAGGCTGAAATACACACTTCACACTTGTGGACATGCAAACAGCTACCAGTCCACACTCCATATTGTGGTCTGTTGGATTTGAACCGCCCCTATAGGCTAGGGGTTTAAGGTATTTGCGCATCACTCCCCAATATCTCTATGTAAACATATCTGCAGGGAATGATGAGGTCGGAGCCAAAATCTAAATATGCTATACAGCTGTAATAAACATTTCAAACGTAAGTTGTCTGACTGAACTACTTAAATGTTTAAATCAGTGTTTCTCCTTGTTCCTACAGCGTGCTGTTTGAATGCTGTCTGTGCAGAGTCTGACACTAGAAGGATGTTTTCACATTCATCTGCTGAAAGTGGAAAGTTTCTCTGAGCTCATTGGAAATCTGCAGTAGGTAACTTTTAAAATAGTAATTTTTTGTCATATTTGCTGAAACTTTCCCTATATCCTGACAGTAGAACATGAGACAGGTAATCTGTGAAACAATCAGCTTCCTCTGGCTCCTCCTAGTGCTCCTAATGGGATTTGCAAGAATCCACCGGGCCTGAACGAAAACAACCAATCAGAGCCAAGAAAGAGTCTTTCTCAGACATTTTTTAAGATATAAGATACCTACTTCAATATCTTACCATCACTAACATGCTGATAGTGAAAGAAAATATAACAGGAAATGCAAAACTTATTTTAAATTACATGTGAGCGATCTCATAGTTGAGGTATTTTCATTTAAAATTTGATAGCATTTTAGTAATTTTGAGTCCTCAGCGTAGCGCAGTTTGAGAACCAGTGGACTGGACAGTTACAGTCATTAATTTTGACACATTTAAACCAAACAATTAATTATTGAATGATTAATCTTTAATAAATAATTGGTAGAAGTAATGAAAATACACTGACACAAAAAAGAGTCATGATGTTTTGCTCAAGAGGTAAAAGTGGAACAATCATCTCAGAATCTGTTATGAAAAGTGACACACCATGAAGTCTCCCAACTGTTCCAGCCATATGTCGTGTAGAGCAAAATTTCTCAGTCCACGTTACTACGTTTTGTTCCTAGCAGTGGGGTGCATGTATAAATATCCCCTGCCCACCTTACTTATGGGTTTTTGTTCTCACAAACCCGCACACATATCCACATGCAGCACACGGGGCTGTGTGGCGTTCTCGTTGTGCTCTGGGGCTCTAACCATGGCTGGGATGCTGGTGTGTGATGGCATATGGGCCAGAGAGCCAGATCTTCAGAGGGACCCTCAGCTTTATCGCCCAGGCCAGCCGGCAGCTGAGTACACAGTTGTTGTCCAGGGGACGGGTCCGTCTGCGGTGGCGATGCCGTCACACAGAAAACAGGTGCATCAAAGGACACCAGAGGAGGGGGGAATGACAGGTACAGAGGGAGGGGGAGTGTAATTTTTTGAGCCATCATGAATGCCTCTTCCCATCTCTACCCCTCCCTCTCTTCTTCTCTCCAACTACATCATCGCACTCCTTTCTGATTTGCTCCGATGCTTCAACCCCCTCCCTCCCCACCAACCTTACCTCCCTCCATTGTTTCACCAGCTTTTAATAAACTAAAGGGCAGATTCCTGACTGGAGCAAGGGGGGCGGGCAAACCCACAGACCTGTCCTCCAGCCACAGGCGCACACACACACACACACACACACAGTATGGCATGCAGAGTGCCAAGCTCTTCCACTGTCTACTGACGCCAGCTCCTGAAACACACACACAAACTTAGGCTTTCCTCTCTCACCCACACACACACACACTCACCCTCTCCTACCCTCCCCACGCGCCAACCTCCTAAAAGCTAAGCTCCTCACTAAATATATCCCCCCCAGTAAAGATAAGACAAACAGTGTGGATTTGAGAGCAGTGTACAGCCAATGACAGACAGCCATGTGAGCTGGAGCTAAGCTTGTGTTAGCTTTGCAATTTAGGCTTCTCAGAAACAGTGGAGACAGAAAGGGAAGACAGAGAGGACATATATGTCTGAATCTTCTCCGATTTCTAGCTCTTTATGGCTGCTTTTCAGCGCACCATACTGTGGGTGATCAGAATGTGGTGTGAACAGAAAACAGAACCCCTAATCTTGCCGGGTCAACAAACATGCACCTCAAATCCTAAATCTGCTCTCTTCATCCTCATCAGACAGAGAGAAAAAAACTGAGCGAGCTGCAGGCTAAAACCAGTGCATGAAACCAGATCAATCCTCCATTCAGCTCAAAGCCTGAGGCTCTCTCGAAAAGAGTGAGTGAAGGAGTCGTGGGCGTGTTTGTTTTATCATGCTGGACCAGGTTTTTCAGGGGGCAGCGGAGATCTGTCACATGCCTGTCTGGCAGGGCGGCGTTAAGGATCTTCTCCATGGCCTGCGGTTCGTGCAGAGCATCCATTTGTCAGAAGCACATTCCTGCGGCGGTGAGACATTGTGAACTGCCTATCGGAGCTTCAACACTGTCCAAATAAATACGCTCACAATGGGCCCCTGTGTGTGTGTGTGTGTGTGTGTTTGCATGCATGTGTGAGAATATGAAACATGAGAGTGCAGACACAAAAGCGGCCGCACACTGCTGTGCCAGAGCATTGCTGTCTATCTGCACCTGGCTGAATGTGCGATCTTTCAAACTCTCTTCCCCTCCAAACAGCGCAGAGGTGATTTTCAGTCTGAGCAGCAGAGAAAGAGACCCCTCCTTGTGCAAACTGTTTCTCATCTGGTGTCATTGGAAGTGCAGAGGGACGTCTGGAAGGATGTTTGCATCATGCAGTCTCACTCTCTTTCTCCTGTGTCAGTCCCTGTCACCTCCTCCAGCCCTCTTTTTCTCTCACCCTCGCACACATCTCAGTTTCATTCTGTTTCTCCTATTTATTGTGTCTTTCTCTGGCACTGCCTGTCTGTCTCTTTCTCAGATGTTTTCCTTCCTACTTGGACTCCCCCAACCCCTCTTGTTATCCCCCCAGGGTCTTTTGTAGTCACTTCATTTTTCATTTAAACACCTTCTCCCTCTTTCTTTCTCACACACACGCCTCTCCTTCTCAGATCGATGGAAGTGGTAGCTTTTCTCCTCCTCCTCCTCCTCCTCCTCCTACCTACCACAGAGTCTATTATATCTGTCATCATCTCTTTCGAGCATAAGCCAGCACCCTCGGGGTCCAACAGAGTGGGCCAAGTCAATCATACACTCACGGACATAAACGCACACACCTGTAAAACACATATCCAAAGTTATTCACACCGCTATTAACCTCCGACACACACACAGACACACACACACACACACACACACACACACACACACACACACTCCCTACAAGCTCCGCGAGCTCCGCTATCCTTCCAGCCTCGCTGTCAGTGCCTGATTAGCAAATCCGACGGTGCCAACACAAACATGTTTCCTCCTATTACACATCATGTCACACTGTTTTCCTAATCATAACCACTTGCAGTTTCTGGACACGTGCAGAGCAGAAAATACCTGCAGTAAAAGAGGAATGCGCACCTGAGCCCAGGGATGTGCAACAGAGAAATAGCTGAAGTTGTGCGAGTATCATGCATGTACAGCTATGTGACAATGCATGCATCACGTTATCTCACACCCAACCTGTGGTAGTTTATACCGAAAACAACATCTGTTAAAAAGTAACTACAGGCTAGTTTTTTTTATATATCTTCGGCTTATTGGGGATTAAAAAAAGGAGGACTGGTGCCCCTGTGGCTGTAGACCTGATCCTGAGGTGTGACACCTAGGCTCTTACCTTCAGCGTCCGGCAGCAGGAGGACAGCAGAGGTATCCAGAGAGAGGCTGAGATCCTGCACGCAACCCTGGATTTTGTTGTTCAACTATTGTTTCCCAGCCAGCTCCTCTCTCCTCCCGCTTCTACCTCTCTCTCACACACACACACACACACACACACACACTGATTGTCTGAGAGCTATTCTCTCCTCCCTCTGTCTGACTGTCTCTCTCACCTCCTCTCTCTCTCTCTCTCTCTCTCTCTCTCTCCCTGTGTCCCACAGTCTCTCTCTCTCACTTTTCTCGAGCAGGGAAATCAGCAGAAAGAGGGAGCAGCCTGGATGCTCTGCCTGTGAGGACGCTCGTCACATGTGGATCGTGACACAGCAGTCGTATATCATACGCCCTTTCTCTCTCTCTCTCTCTCTCCACACACACACCAGCTGACGCACCGACACGCTCCACAACGGCAAATGGGAATTCCAGCCCTGGACGGCTCTCTGCTCGGCCCATCAGGAGAGAGAGCTGACCAAAAGCTGCAGCCAGTTTTACGAGGTCAGGGTTATAAAACTGTTAGCAGATTTAGTTTATTTAAAAACAACTGGCCCCTGTGGCCTTCCTCTTCACACGCCTTCTCCCGCCATGACATGAGGGGCGGGGGTGTGCAGGTGGGGGTGGGTGAGGGTAGTTAAATAACTCACCTCAGCAATCATCACTTGGTGGGGACATCAGTGTTGTAGGTACAGTTGAGATTGTGACACGGGGATATCCTACACCTGCAGGCAGAGTTAAGGTTATATATGTTGAATATGTTATCATGGAAGTTTTTGGAAATGTTCAGATTTATAACCAAATGAAGACACTATCATCTGCCCTTGCAATATTTCACATTATTTTTAGGAAAAGTAGATTTTCAGGCAGGGCGCCCTGATAAATATATATTTGGTATTTTAATATCTGCTTGTACAAAAGTGCTCACAAGGCACAATACAGGAGTACTACTAATTTATCGTGGCACATTTCTATTAAAATCGGGCATATCTTCACATGGCTTAATTTAAGCTTAATTTTAAGTGAGTCCAGTATGTTTTAGTGCCATTTGAATTCATTTCATTTATGAAGTATGTTATCATGATTATTGTGATAATATTGTGTATGGAAATTGTCATATTGTCCTATGACTAATGTGTTCCTCAAAGGACCAGTGTGTAGGATTTAGTGGCATGTAGCGATGAAGTTGCAGATTGCAACTAACTGAACACCTCTCACGTCTGCATTTGATGACCTGGGAATAAGCATTGACTGAAATATGTAGGAGAAACTATGGTGGCCACAAAACTCGCAAAAAATGCAAATATCTACAGCCAGTGTTTGAATTGTTTTGAATTATGAATTATTCTACAAGATTTTGTTGAGTATTAAACAAATGAACCTACAATGCTGTTTGATTTATATTCTTTCCTCTCAGGTCTCTGACCAACATGTCATTGTCTGCAAACTTTACCTCCTCTAAAATGTTAGTTTTTTATTTTATTTTTTCTATTGCTTACTCACTTACAGACTCAGATACAGGACCCAGTGGGTCATATTTGTTGGATTTTTCATTTGGGATTTTTTGTCTTCATCTGTAAACAATTATATGACGGTGCTGTGCCTGTATGTTTGGACACAAGGAAAACAACAGCAACAGAGCCTGGCGCAGACCAGAACAGATCCAAACTGCAACAACCTCATCCATCATCCTCGCATGGCTCCAAACAGACACCCTGAAGATATAAAGGAACTGATGTGAATGAGTGAGGCTGCGGTCATACCTTCTCCGAGGCATTGTACACAACTTCTGCCAGATGATTGCACTTTGCTTCTCTCTATCTCTCTCTCTGCCTTTCTGGAATGTTAGTGGTTGAGTTTGTTAAACAGTTTCAAATTAGCGGCGTGATATCAAAAATGGAGGTATAATCCTCTGTTTGGGGCATGGCGAGTATCCAGAGGAAAAGAAAAACACACAGCCAGACAAATCAGTCACATTATCTAATACCTAAGCACTGAGGATGCATTCTTTCAACATGTTTCACACATAGGGGGTGGGGGGCAGGTTGGGGAGGGCACAACATAACAAACTAATGTTTTTTCATAGCCTGGACATGTAGGAAAAGGGCAGTCAAACAGTGTGGGAATAACAATGAGTGGAACAAAGGTAAAAATAATAACTTGGGCTGTGTGAGGCTGGCAGCCTATGTTCAGATACTCATTGTATCACACACACACACACACACACACACACACACACACACACACACACACACACACACACACACACACACACACACACACCTTGGTATGTAGAGTCAAAACTCTCGGGGGAAATAAGGGGAGCGAGCTGCACCACACTAAGTAGGGCTTAGTGGGTCAAAAGTTTAAGAAGCACAATTACCTGAAAGACCTCGGCTGACCCCCAAATTTCTCACCTTCTGTTCCCTCACTCACACACACACACACACACACACACACACACACACACACGCACACTCACACACACACACACACACACACACACACACACATACACACACACCTCCGACAGAGGCGATTTACAGCCGGCAGCAGGAGAGGGTGAAAACTTATACACCACCAACAGGCTCCTGGAGAGAAAGAGAGTGAGAGACCCACGTAAGCACAGTTTGCATTTTGATTACACTTTCAGGCACCGTAAATGATCACCACTGTGAACAGTGTCAAATGAAAAGGCCATAACTCACCTGGACAGAGCCTTACCGCCTCTCCTTGGCTTACTCGCCTTGTGTGCACATGAGAGGTGGTGACAGGGAGTGAATGGCTTCAGATAATGTATCATAATATCACATTAAGAAAATGTTCAGCGAAGCCAAATGTGAATCCCATATGCGGGGAGGGTGAGGGGAGGGCGGGGTGAAAAGCAGAGAAAAGCCAGAGGATATATTGAGCAAAAGGAGAGGATACAGTGAGATGACACACCGCCGTAAAAGTACCTTTCTGACAACTTGTAAAAAACGCTTTCACTTTGTGAAACGACAGTGGGTAAATGGACAGTAATAAAAAGCTAAGTAATGCTGTCCCTGTGTGACAGCTGTTGACAGGTAACTTTCTTTTTAAGATTATGATTAACTCTTTACTCTCTCCACTGTTTATTCAGATTTCAGCCGGGAGACAAACAGTTGGGTCAGATTCCTTCAAAATGTAATGTTACTGAATAGGAATTACAGGGCAATTTTAGTAATTAGTAACAATACATCAAATTACAACATTTTTTTATTTAATCTGAATACTTCAAGAACTGGATGCAGCCACACGTTTTGAGCTCTACAAATATAATTTTTTCTCTTAAAACATCTCAAAACTAACAAAGGACGTCCCGGAGGGGCTGCGAGCCGAGCTGCTGCTAACGTTAGCTCAGCTTGTTTCTCTGATAACTTAAGATCCAGACGTCCGATGACTAAAATCCTTCATCCGGTTCAAATCTAGAGTTAAAAAGCACCAAGATCTAAACAGTGGATGGTAACAATGTGGCTTCAGACTGGATAAACAGTCAATGTATGACAGCTTCTGGCAGACAACCACAACACTGATGCAGGCACAAAGGGGATATGTGAAATGTTTTTTACATTTTATTCAGGTAACTCTGCGTTTCACCGCCATCACTGAGTTTGAACATTGTTGGAAGCATTTGGGATAATGGAAATACACAACTCAACTACATAAACATAGTAGCTCTAGAGTTGAAGACATTTGAATGCAGGAATCTTATAGATTATAGCTTTAAATGTTACTAAAGTTGCTTAAAATATCTGTGCCGTAAAGTGGTATCGGAGAGTACAAGAGCACAGTATTGGACCTGATACCAAATACTGGCATTATGCATCCCTACAGGTCTGCCACAAAGTGAGGCGCTTGTCTAAGGAACCCCGTATGAAACTGTAATCTAATTACCCGTTTTTCAAATGTTATCTGGGCTAATTATAGTTACTTATTTTTTCTAATCTGATTATGTAATCTTGATTACATGTCCATCTTACTGATGTTCTGCTGCCTGCTTACCATTTGGGCCCATACCCGTATGATTGGTATGAGTGTTTTAGGCCGCAGGTCAGATTGCAGCCTCATTACATCAGCGAATAAACCGGTGACTGTTCAGAGTATGACGTGGCAGTTGTCCCTGTCTCGATCAAGTCCCACCTTGGCTGTAGGCGGTCGGACATGCTGTCCCCATGAGCACCAGTAACTGAGATGTGACTGGACCTGACATGACATTAGTCATCTCCTCCTCCATCTCTGTTAATCCCGTTAGCGGGGCAGGGTCACATCACAACCTGAGTCACACATTTGCTGGCCCTATGGGCATGTTGTCCCAACACCTGCCATGTCTATCTTTGTTCCATTGCATAAGAATTTGGGCTATTATAAAAGTAAGACTCTGAACTGAAGAGTTAAATATCTGTCAGTTTTTAACCAAAGCTCACTGGTCTTTCCTTTTTCAAGCTGGTTTGTATTATCTGTGAGCGGCACAAGGCTGTGGACTGACTGATGGTGCACAGACATATTCAGTCTTCATTTGGAAGATTGATTTCCAGCCTTATTTTAAACTACATGAAAAAAATGGAAGGGGGCTATAATTTTGGGAGATTTATGTGGACCGCTGTGCAACAGAAAAACTGGCACGTTTGCCTCAAAAATGGTCTCCGCTGGGAGCCAAAGGCCTAACAAAAAATAGTCCCATAGTTGTAATTTACAGCTGGTGTAGAATAACTTTCTCTTTTCTTGACCAGGTAAAGCAATGTCACAGCAGCTGCCAAAAACAACTGATGTTTGATGAGCGTACCAGGTCTGGTTTTTGGAGTTTGAGGAGGAACACAGTCATCCAGTGCAGAATCGAGGAATAATGTCTAGTGCGGGAATAAAACACCGGCATCAAAGACTGAACTTCTCAGATGGAGCTGAGGACACAGGGCAGACCACAGTGCAGCTAATGACCTTAACACTCATTTGCACACAAAGACACACCGTTGTGTGCGTGATACTGCATGTGGAATGAGAACAGCAGCCCTTGGTGAGGCGGGGGGGTTCGTGGAGAAAGAAGGGATAAAACGACAGAGATAGAGGGAGATATGGAATAATGAGAGCGCAGCTAAGTGTTTCCCCATGTGCACCTGGGGCAGTGGCTGACCCTGTAAGGCAGGGTCTAAGCCTCAACCCTCTCCCCCGCCCCTCCCTCTCTGTGCCAATGCCCATAGGCACTGAGGAATCACTGGAATGAGGGAGAGCGGACAGAATAAGTTGTTAATATAGGTCATGAAGAGCATCAGAATTAAATTGAGATGGTTTCATAAGCAGTTAAAAACGTAGTAGTAAGTTCTGAATGGGGGTATACACAATTGTACTCAATCCCAAATTAGAGTTTAAAATAGTGTAAAACTCAACTGAAGCTACCAAATCAAAACATGAGACCCACTGAGCGATATCAGTTACTTGTTCGGAGTTAACAGTAGGGCCAGAAATGGCTGCTCTGGGGGAACAGTTCTGAGAAAAACATCTGAACGCAGGTGCTTTGTGATGTGTGTGTGCTTCCAGGTTTAGGATTTGTTGTCATGAGAAAAGAGAGGCACGCAGCCAGTAAACAGAAACTTTTCCCCTCTTGTTCTCAGATATCTGTTTAGACTTCATAGATTAGCCGTGACTCCATCAGACTCGCATTAAGCACATCACGCACATTTGCACGCATGCACACAAACACACGTGTGCTTGCGCGCACACAAACACACTCCGATTCTCCTAACCCCAGAGACATTTATGACCTTCCTGTATATCAGTTTTTACAGTGCAGGGCTCCTGAGCAGAACAGCAGTAAAGTGGAACAAGGACAAAGCAAGAGAACCAGATTTTTTACAGCGAGCCTCCATGTTCTGCTTCTGCTGAGTGCAGACAGACAGACAACAGGAGGCGGTCACTCACAGCACGTCAACAAAACATTGCTGAGAGGAGACATCATCAGGGAGGATTCATTATACATACATCAACATTAGTTAGCTAGCATTTTGCTAAAATTAGCTAACTTAAGATGTAACTATATATGTACCACTGACATATATAAAGATAGGCGACAAGACAGCTCTCCAAAGTGAAGTCAAAACATCTCAATCGCCCCCTGGTGGCTGCTGGCAGTATATGTCATAAACCCCGCCCCTACCATGTTAGCAGAGAGGACACTGGCCACACTAAATAATCAATAATCAAGTACATGTCAAATAACTGTTTCCCAAAGTTCATTTTTCTGATCAGTTTGGTTTTCATTGGTTATTTGAAGTGGGGGGGTTTCACGTCATGATTGACAGCTGAGCACTACTCGAGATTGAGTCGAACTGGTGTATGGCCAGGACACCGGTTCACTAATTAAGGCTTTGTTCCATTTGGTGTAGCAGAGCCAACATGGCCTTATTTGACCTGAATGGAACAGAACAGAATGGCAGCTGTGAAAAAGTCTATTGACTACAGCATTCTTCTAACCCTAACATTAACATTAACGCCGCCTGTCTTTTACCATGTCTCGGAGGGATTCACACCAACCCGCGTAAACACACACACAAGCACACCAAAAGTATCTGGGCTCTCACAACTTCTCCGCCCTGAAGCATCAATTTTCCAGTTAACTGGATTGTGTTAGCTTACACTCGAACGCACCATTACCACCAAATTATTCAGATGCGAGAAAGAAAACTTTAAGATTAAACACACATCACATTTCCTTAATAACACACAATTTCAATTCAATTCAGTTCAATTCAATTTTATTTGTATAGCGCCAATTCATAACAGAAGTTATCTCAGGACACTTTTCAAATAGAGCAGGTCTAGACCGAACTCTTTATAACATTATGTATGAAAACACAGATGCTGGTTAGGCTGATATACCATGCTCTTTCTTTGGAGAATAAGTAGTGTGTGTGTGTGTTTCACCTCCCACTCTGTGTCTATGTGGAGGTGGCAGTTGGTGGGTCACTGTTGTTGGAGGGAAAGCTGAATACGTCCCGCAGAAGGGAAGAGTAGTTGACGTCTTTTGCTGGAACCTCGTCGGCGCCAAACCTCGCATTCATGTCAAACTGGATACGACAGGAACACACAGGTCACAGCTCTGACAGCGTTCAAATACTTTGTTGTTCAGTGTTTCCAATAATTAATTGTTTTAGTCTCCACTTTGGTTGTTCTAATTGTCACTCCTTTTAATATACTAACTTTGTAATTGTCTGTCTATAATAGAGCTCTCCTTTATTATTCCTATATTTGTCTTACTCTGCTCTGTACTTTATACAACTTGAAAAGCACCTTCAGTTGTCAGTGTGTATCAAATGTGCTACATAAATAACACCTAACGTCCTTAGGCTCCATTAGTTTGATTAAACCTCACACACAGAAAACAATAGAACTTCTTTTTAACACTAAAGGACAATGCAATTTAGCTTATTTCCCTAAAGCAATAACTTTTGAACTGGTCCCAATATTGTTAAATATAATGAATAGAAAGAAAGAAAGAAAGAAAGAAAGGCACTTAGGAAATAGACAATCAATCTGAGTCTGTCAACGTGACATTCCTGTTGTGTCCTCACTCTAACTGTGTTTCCATCCAAAAGTGTAACGCCAACTTTCACGGTATTTCGAGTAATCTGGCAAAAGAAAATACAAATGCATGCTTGTTTCCATCCACTACCGAGAATATTAGGAGTTGGTTAATGAGATAAGCAGTAAATGGCACCATTCGCAATATCAGAAGAGGAAGATGCAACAAGATCACGTAAATAAAAGTCGAAACTCAAACAATACATAAAACAGGAAGGAAATATGACTTTTCTGTGAGTTTCATAATATATTACTGCGAGGAAGGTTCCATCAGATCTGGAGAGCCATGGGAGTGACACGGAGAATGTTGGAGTGGAAACAGCAACTTATTTGAAAAAAGAGTTTCCATCTCCCATTAAAGGACCAGTGTGTAGGATTTAGTCAACTAGCCATGTAATTCCAGATCGCAACTCCTTCTCTTCACCCTCACCTTCCAAGCTTGTATGTGAAAATAGCCATGAAAATTGTAAAATGACCACACATTCAACTACACTTAAACTTTTATAAACAGGGAATTTGTTTGATTAACAAACTAGAATTTTGTTAGTATTAAATTAATTTTGTCATGTTAATGTAATGATTAGATCATGTTTGCTGGACATGATTCAAAGAAAATTCAGATTAATGAAATCATCCCATGTTAGTCCAATCGATTATTTTGAACTGCATGATTTTGACTGGTTTAAAACATGCAAAGTATTCCCATGTGATTAAGTAATTCTGTTCGGCCAACTTAATTTGGTTTGGATAAACTTAATTTACTAGTGTAATTTCACTTATTTTAAAATTTGTTATATCAACCCTATTAAATTAACTTGACTCAACTCAAGTAAATATGTTGGGCTTAGAGAATTGCTTAGAGCTGAAAGAAAGACATTTGATCCAGTGGAAATACTTTCCATGAAAAAAACAGTTTCTTGTGTGTGTATAGATTTTAAGCCTTTAAAATGTTGAGCCTAAAGTACTATTGTCTTTATATGTTAAACATTTTAGGAATTATTCTATGGATGTCACTCTGAATAAGAATAAACCAGCTAATAGCAATACCTCTTTCTATCAATAAATGAGCAATAAATCAGAACTGAGCGCTGTGTTTGGCAGTGTGAAAGTAGCCTTAGTGGCATCTAGCGGTGAAGTTGCAGATTGCAAACAAATTAATACCGCTGGCCTTCCAAGGGTGTAAGTGAAAACTACGGCTGTGAAGCTTGTGAAAAACTTTAAAGGCCCTTTGTAGAGCCAGTATTTGGTTTGTCCGTTCTGGGCTACTGTAGAAACAAGAGCTTCCTCTGTAGATAAACACAGCTCGTTCTAAGGAAACGAAAACCTATTATACACTAATGAAACCTATGAATATTATGTTCCATTTCTGACAATAGATCCTCCTAAATGTTACACACTGGACCTTTAAGCAGCTTTTTTCAACTTTTTAAAATGTACCTGTTTCAATCAAACTTTGGTAATGCAATACTTCAAAATCTGATTAAAATGTACAGCTTATACACAACACTTGGGGTTTACCTTGGAGCTTTTTAAGGAGCACAGAGTAGTTGAGCAGAGACTGACTGACTAGTTTGGGCTTAGAACCCGGCAAGGCAAAGAGCAGCTGTAAACCGTGACAGAGGAAAACAGAGAATTGAGTGAGCATCGGCGTACACACTCTTACACACCCAAACACACATACGGATTCGGTCCACTCCCATTCTGTCCATGCAAGACTCCCTTTGTTGTCATGCCATGGTGTATATCTCTCCTGCTCACCTGTTTCTACTTAGATTTGGCTGTGGTAGTGCATGCTAAATCAGCATTACATAGGAAAGATACAAATGCAGGAGAGAAGAACAAAGGAGTTCCTTTCTCTCTTACCTTTAAGGTGTCTTCCGGCATTACTGGGGGAGCAGGGTGCTCTACCCAGTTAATGCCAGCCAGGAACGCATGGTAGTCAATCTCATCCCCGTCTGTGAACCTACAGCAGACATGCATCCAGATTAGAAACACGTACTAACCTCCAAATAACAAAGACAACATTTAAATGAAGCTTTTTTGCTCTACTTCAGAGGTTTTAGTGGTATTCAGTCTGACTGCTGATTTTTAAACCATGCCAAGAAAAAGATTCTGGGCAAAGACGTGGGCTATACTTCACAATAAATGAAATTTGAAAATTGAAAAACTCTGAAAATGCAGTGGGAACTGTTCTACCCTGAACTGTGCGTAGGTGATTAGTGGGGCTCTTACTTGCTGAGCAGACCTCCCAGCAGGTTCTCAGGCAGGGGAAGCCGGAAGGCCTGACAAATGGTCCTTGTCTCTTTGGTGGAGAGACGGCCGGTTCTGGAAACACAGAGAAAAGCAGAGACACAGGCATCCAACTTAAGAAAAAAAACATGAATCTCTAGAGGTTAACCCTGGTGGTGGTGACCCACACTGGGCTGCTTTTGTAGTGGGTCATTTGGATTAAGCTCAAGGAAAATACACATGGTCTTTAAGCTCATTTCACATTCACGTTTTAGAACGTTGTAGCTGTGTGAAATGGCCCGACTCAGCTCCACTCAAGCCGGCTGATGATGCAGTTTTTGATGGAAGAAAGAGAGAATCAACTCATCAGTTTGTTTTAAGGGACAGCCACATCTGTACAACACAGGCCTTAAAGCTGCAGTAGGTATTTTTATAAAAATAACATTGTCATATTTCTATCTTTCTCAGCTCTGATTGGTTGTTTTCATTAAGGCCCGGTGGATTCTTACAAATACCATTAGGAGCACTAGGAGGAGCCAGAGGAAGCTGATTGTTTCACAGATTATCTGTCTCATGTTCTACTGTCAGGATATAGTGAAAGTTTCAGTAAATATTACAAAAAGTAATTTTTATAAAAGTTACCTACTGCAGTTTTAAAATGTACTCAAAGAGCAATCAGTTCCAAATTAATTTTGTCTCAATACATTTTTTTTTATATTTTCACCATTTCTTAATAAAACTGTAGTAAGGAATATACCATATCCCCACTCATATTGTAAGACTCAACAAATTATATCCAACTAGACGGAACTTGTCTCAACTCTTTAGTCTGAACTAGGCTTTAGAGGCTATAATCTACCCTAAACTAAAAAAGTCTTATATCATTATATTACTGAGAAAAAAAGAAGAAAAAGGTCTCAAACTGAATTTGTATGAAGACAATGTGTGTGTGTGTCCAACAGAGCATGCTTGTCCTCTGAGACCACCGCTGTTTTCCACAGAGATGTCAGATGGTCTGGAGGCCCATCCTTGTCATGCTATCTTCATTACACTAACTGAGAGTGTCAACACAGCCTCATAAACAGACAGTGCAGCTTAACCTTGTGACACTGCTGACCATCCATTATCAGATCCATCCATTATAGAGCTCTGCTACATATGGATAGCACACATGCATTAAACATGCAATTTTATGCACACAGCGAGAAGGAAGGTGACAAGCATAGACATAGACCACATATGTGTGTGTCCTCTGAGCTGCATGCCATACAGGTCTTCAGGGTCCATCTGGTTCCAATGCTCCACTCTCACACTGCTGGAACTAATTGTTGCTCTGAGATATGGGGCCAATGGCTACACGATTGATGTCTTGTTGTGACGCTGTTGGTGTGTGTGTGTTTCTGCTGCAACACTGTTTAGTCTTAAGCTAACATCTGTGTTTGTGTGTGTGTGTGTGTGCGCACCTACTTGTGTCGGTCATGGTGTGCGAAGGCTCTGGCCATGTCAGGGAGCTCTTCAAAGTGCTTCTTCTTGAGGAAGTCCTGGGCCACGGCCAGCATCAGGCCTGCATCCACCTCAGGCTGCTCGCGCTCCGAGAAACATCGGCCCAGCACCAGCACTTCGTGCTCCGACAGGCCACAGTCCAGACCCATAAGCAGGGCTCTGTGATGCATACACATACAGAAAATAACACATTCCACTGTTCTTACTTTAAAGCCAGTGGGTATGGAATTTCTCTTTGCTCTTTTAATATTTACATCCTCATAATCTTTATCTTGACAAGAGTTTCCTGTCAGCTGTTCTTCCTGGTTATACACGTCTAGTTGATAATTATCATTATAATGTTAACAGACAATTACACTTTATGATCAGATCTTAGGTATGTATCAAGATCTCCTCCAGACAAAGGTTGGGTATCGTTTTGGTTTCTTCCGATGCCAGAGCTAAAATGATACGGTACAGGGGCTTAAATGGCCACTTTAGAAATGGCTGTTGGAATCCTTTTGAGTAAAATACAGCCACACTTTAGACAGCTTAGTTCGGCATTTTAACCATGCTTAACGTAGCTACTAGCCTTGGGGGAGGCTTCCTGCTACCAGGGCAATGTAGAGAGAGAGTTGCGGTGATGCCTCTGGTACCTGTAACATATGCACCAGTGAGCAACTATTTCAATAGAAGCAAGGCACCCAATGGTGCCCATCCCTAAGAAAAAGTACAATTTCCACATTAAAACCCCTAAAAAGGCATCTACTCCTTCTACCTCATTGAAAATTGCAGAATCTATGAATATGCAGATTTTGTTCAGATATGTGTATTCATGTGTGGAAGGTTTCAAGTATAGAGCTGCACAATCCAATTTGCTCAATCAGTATCTGTGCAAATTAGGGCTGCGACCAGCAATTACTTTTTTTTTTCAATGACTACAAAATGTCAGAAATGCTGAAAAGTTGTCATCACACTTTTCAACAACAACGTACGGTAACATTCTGTCAAAAAGTAAAAAATATTAAATTAAATTATCAATTATATAATTAATTATATAAAATAAAACAAAACATAGAAAAACAGAAAATCCTCACATTTGAGAAGCTGGAATCAGAAACTTTTAGCATTTGTGCTTGATCAATAACTTAAATAATTAACGGAGGGGGGCTCTGATCATCTGCTTCAGTATATATTATTGGCACAAGGGGAGGCATACTAGACAGACTGAACTATACTTATAGTTGCAGTTTTACTACAGTACCTGAATGACTCATAGGGGATGAAGCCAGTGTTGCTGGGGTCACTGAGAGCCAGAAACTTCCTGATCTCACTCTGTTTCTCCTCTGGAATGGAACGCAGTTTACTGAGGATGTTACCCACATTGGCTTTAGGGAACTTAAGACACAAACACACAAACATGCAATCTTTAATCACATATAGCAACAAGTAACACCTAGATGACTAAATATGACTGCTGGAGCTCTAGCAGCCTGCTCCAAAGACCAGCACTGAAAACAAGCTTGCAGGGCCTTCGCTACAATCCCCCACGTAAACCTTGGAAAACCACCAAATATTCCTCTTCCAGCTCTCCCCCTACCTCCTCAGCATGTTGCTCCATGTAGTTGAAGGTGTATTCATCGGCGTCCAGAAGTTGAAAGTGCTTATTGTTAAGGCAGAGGGTGGCTCCGACGTACAGATCCTGAGCTGTAAAGCACTCAGACACCTCGCTCTTAAAAAGGTCCTGGCCTGGCTTCTTTACACGACCACGCTCTAGGAACTTACCACCGAGCACACCTGGAGCACCGCGTGTGAGAGAGAGAAGGATAAAAGGGTATGATTAGTTTTTCAGTTCCACTGAAATTAACTTTGTTGAAAAAGTAACTTAGTCCTTTGACCACAGTTTAAAAGCACGGGCATTTACTTTTACATCATTGTTGACCATGTGTCTTAATGTTATTAAATTCCAATCTTAAGAGCATTTTACAGCAACACAGTAAACATGGATAACTACTCTTACCCAGCTTTCAATATTATTACTGGGCAGCTATTTATATAATGCTATGTTATGTTATATTATCGGCCCCATATACTACTTTCAGGATATAGCGAAAGTTTCATAAAAATGATATGAAAATATATCATATATATATATAATCAAATATGATATAAAGCTATTTTCATAAAAATTACTTACTGCAGTTTTAATTTTCTTGAAGTTTGTTTTTGTACCCCCTTTTTTATTTTACTATTCTGTGTTCACTGAAATTATATTTTGACACATCAATTTGTAATGGTGCAATAGGATAGGGTTACCTGTGACAGGAGATTTTGTTAAAATATATCAAACTGTATTTTATATAACATAAAAAGCTAAGAAAAACAATTTAAACAGAAAAAATCCAATCTAAATTAAATTTAAATGATATTGTTTTGTTTGACATTACACTACAATTTAGTTTTGACATGCTGAACAGTCCATGAACCCGTGACATACTATCCGTATAGAATTGTACAAAATACTGTCAAATATTGTTTTAAATATTGAACTGTGTTGCCGTAGCGACACGGCGAGCATCACCTTGTTGTTTTAACATTTGATCGCATTTTGTGCGGGCTAAACAGGCTCAACACCTCATGAAACTTGACACACACGTCCCACATGGCAGCATTTTACATTTCAAATGGATGTTTCAAAATGGCTCAATAGCGCCCCCTACAAATTTTCAAAAAAACAGCCCTGGTGTCCTGTTTAGGGGACATGAATGACATTTGAGATGCATATATATCAAGTTAGGACATACCAAAAAGCCACTTGGACCCATAACCCAAACACAGCAGGAAGTAGGCTTTTTTGATTTTCAGTTTCAGTTTCGGCGGCCATTTTGATTTTCATTTTCACTTTAGGCAAATTTCTGCCCTGTATTTAAATGAACTCCTCATAGGGGACTTATCGGATCTGCTTCAAAATTGGTCAGTGCAGTCAAAAAATGTTGCTGATTATAATCTGTGCTATTTGTGAATGTACGTCGAAGGGTGTGTCCGTGGCGTGCCATCAAAGGTGGCCTTTTTTAATTCTGTAGTCATTTTCTGTAAATTTTTCGCCTTGTATTTGAACAAACCCCTCATAGTGGATTCATCGGATCAACTTCAAAATTGATCAGTCCCATCAAGAAATATTGCTGATTAAAAGTTGTGCTATTTGTGCATGTACGATGAAGGGCGTGTCCGTGGCGTGACGTCAAATTTTGTATTGTGAACAAACTCCTCCTACTTCAAATTTAATCAGCGCAATCTAAAGACATTCATGATCAAAAGTTGTGCTATTTACGACATTTCATCGAACGGCGTGCCCGTGGCATTGCATCGAATTTCAACGATTCGCCATAAAACAGATAGTACTCATAATTTCAGTGTACATTGTCCAATCTCAATGAAACTTCACGTTTGCTACTGGAAAAAGGAAGTAAGCTCTGCATGGCGATTTTGATATGAATTACGTGAAAATGTTGTGGGCCGCACGTGTTACGACGGCACGTGACGCGGCCGCAGCACACCCCGACACGCGCCGACTGTGAGGTCCTGTTCATAGCTGCTTACAGCTTTAATGTTAGATTTGTATCCCAAGCCCTGGGAGTGGTCCTGGTCCTAACATTTTTACCTGAGTTCCTTTGTGGGGGTTCGAACACGCTGATGGAGTCGTCGCAGAGGTAGAAGGAGATGATGAACACTCTGTCTCTGTCGACTGGGTCGTTGGTCACCATCTTGGCATGGAAATTCAGCACATTACTGTTGAGGCCACATCTAGTGGGACACACACATGCGCTAGAGTTAGGGGCTTCCACTAACGCACAAAGAACTCAGTGTGTAATTTGTTTGTGAATGTGGCTACAACTCATCCAACCTGTCCTTCTCCATAAATTTGCGGAAATCTTTCTGTGGGGGCTTGGGCAGCAGGCCCTGGCAGGAGCTCAGCGAGTCCACCTCTGAGCCAAAGCCGTTGTAGGGGGGCACGGGCCTCAGGGGCTTAGGGGTCGGGGGAGCTTTGTACTGCACTGGGGTGAAGTCCTCTGAGAGGAGGAAGGAGAAAGAAAAGACAAAACACTTAAAAGAAGAAAGGAAGCCAAGAGGAGAGCTGAAATGATCAGAGGCCAGCAGGTAATCCATCCATGCAGGAGCACAGCAGCCTGGGTCTGACCTCTGACTGCTCAGAGTCAGACAGGACCCTCCATCACAGTGGCTGTCACTAGGGGCTCCTGGTTTACTACTGTGACTAATGCAGCAAGCCCCTAAAACCTGCCCAGGGTGGCAGACACATCCAGGACCAGCTCTGGTTTCCTCTGCTGGGGAGTGGTGTGCCACTTGAGGGTCCACAGTCTCTTTAACTGTTAAGGTTTGGAGAAATACCATCGCTGGAGGGCCAGTGGATCTTATGTCAGGCTGCTGAACTCCATCCACCAAGGACTAACGATTCCCAACCTGTGGGTCCCAACCCCTACTATGGGTCGCCAAAGCTTCATGGGGGGTTGCAAGAAAATGTTTAAAGAATATATACACAGTAGGCCTATATCTCAGTATTTCATTTATTTCTGTGAATATATCTAAATCAAATTGTTATTTTTAACAAGTTTAAATTACTATTTGAGAATATAAAAAAATAAGTACCAATATGAGTACTTAATATTACCATTACAGTTGTAACAATGACTTTAAAATGTGTTTTATTTTCATCAGATGTTCCTCACTTTCTTCTTTCTTTTATTGTTATGCATTGAATATAATATCCATAAAATAGGTCACTTAGTCAGTTTACTCAGTGATATAATTCCCAGGAAAAGGGTTGGGAACCACTGATACAGGCTATAAAGTAAGCTCAGTCCTGAGCCATTAGACTTAGGAACCAGTTAGTTAGGAAGATAACAGCTCTTCCTGGTGCTTGCTCTTACTGCCACTAAGTGTTCAGATCAGTGTACTGCAGGCAAGAACAACTGATGAATGTGTGACTAGCTAAAATGTCACACTGCCATTGTCAATGTACTTTTATATTATTCAATTAAATTTTGTTACATAAATAGAGAGTTTTCTTGCACAGATGAAAACACTTGAAATCACACATTTTGGTCTATAAACGTCAAAAGTATGCCCTTTAGAGCAATGGTTCCCAGCCGTTTTCCTTAAGGGACCCCTTATGTAACATTGAGTAAATGGAAGACCCCCAAATATTTATCAAATACAGAAAAACTAATAAACTCTACAATGAACCCAAACACACACACAATAACTGCAGGTAGTTTGTGTAAATTGAGCCATTTGGAAGAATTCTGAGCATTTTGTTGACATTTTTGAAGTTGTGATATTAAATAACACACCTTAATGCGATATGTTATTTTAAATGAAAAAGAAACATTTGTTGAAACTGTTCACATTGAAAATTTTAAGTTGCACAAACTCAATTTTGTAAGTTAAAAACATTCCTTTTTAAGTACTTTTTACTAGTATTTTTCACAATACAAATAAAAAATTCAAATTGAAGTCAGTGTCACTTAACATGACTAAAGCTACTTGATCAAGAATGTTTTTTTAACTTACAAAACTGAGTTAGGTGTACTTCAAATTTTAAATGAACTTATCTGGTTTTTAGTTTCATTTAGTTTTCTTTACAGAAGTGAATGAAATGTTGAGATACAACAGCACACATGTCTGTAGCACAACTGAAATTAAAATCAATAGGATGGGTTACCTATGCCGTATTTGGAGTGGTAGTAGTCTTTGGTGAAGTCATCACAGTCGGTGATGATCACCTTCCTGCCCCACACGTTCACCTCCCCACCCACAGTCAGATGGGAGTCCTTATAAAACTCCTCACGGACAGCTCCTGTCTGCCAGATGGAGGGAGAACAAAGAGCGGAGAATGAGACGAATGAAAGACCACACCGTGGAATTGCTGAGTTTTTTAATTTAGCTAGATGTACACGAATTGTACATTTAGCTACATTTAGGTAGTATTGCTGTTAATGAAACCGGCAGGGTCAAACTTCAAACTGTTGAGATCAATGGTGTTCAGGTACAAGCTTGCCTAATACTCTACTGTATGTTGTCAAAAGTATGTGGACACCCAGACGTTACATGCATATGTGAGTGTTATGGACACTACTATGTTGCTATATCAGCTTCTGTTTTTACTTCAGAAACATTGCACATGTACACATATACAAGAACTTATATTGTATTTTATTGTATATGGTGTGTATATTTTATATTTTATATTTTATGATACTATTTTTTTTTTTTTTTTTTGGGGGAAAATCTTTTTCCTCCCCACCAGGGGGGCATTTTGGCAACGGTTGCAGGATCATACCAAAGGCACAGGTGTTTTTTTTTTTTTTTTTTTTTTATTTATTATTTTTTTTTTTTTTTTTTTTTTTTTTTTTTTTTTTTTTTTTTTTTTTTTTTTATTTTTTTTTTTTTTTTTTTTTTTTTTTTTTTTTTTTTTTTTTTTTTTTTTTTTTTTATTTTAAAGGGGGAGAAGAAAAAAGAAAAGGGGGGGGAGAAAAAAGAAGCAACCAAAAAGGGGCCCAAATGGGTTTCCAAGGCGTGGGGGGGGGGGAAAGGGCCCCCCTTGGGAAAAGGGCCCCCCCCCCCCCAGGGGGCTTTAAGACCATAATGACTCCTCAGTTAACATAGAATTCTAGTGTGAGCACAGGACCTACTTTGAGGCTGTCCAGTATGTAGCGCTCTCCCTTACTGGTGGAGGAAAACACATTGAGCAGTGTGCGGTCTGCGATCTCTCCAGGCTGCTTCATTCGGGCCAGAGCACACTGCAGGGAACACACAACAGTGGGTGGGAAACTGTTACACAAAACACATCATACAAGATCTTCACAGAGCTGAGCACCATTCTACATGTAATCACCAACATACACACCTGAGAGAGAGACAGACAGACCAGCTGACAGACAGAGAGAAAGGGAGACAGACAGAGGGGTTTATTGACAGAATAAAGAGTAATGAAGTGATGTGCCCTAAAGGACACAGCGATTTCCCATTGGATGGAGGGTTCTGGTCTTTTGGGCTGACATTTACTAAAAAGGCATCAGAACAAACAAAATTACTGGACTGAAAACACACACACATGATTGAGGCCTGGCTGTCTTTCAAGATGAATTAGGCTTCAGTCAGTGAGTGGAGGAGAAGGCCAGAATGCTTGAGGGAGACTGGATGCTGCAGCAGTCCTGTCAGACTGAATGAGGTATCCGCAAGGGGAGGGACGGTGGGAAAAAGATGAAAAGTCACCAGACCAGAAAGGGAAGCACTGCAATAACTGTCTATATGGAAAAAAGGACCCTGTGTAACACATTCTGCTACATTCATGTACTCCCTAAACATTGAATTCTTTACATTTTCTGACTATTCTGAAGTATTCAGGAATTTCCATAACCTGTAGGATCTGTGTTTGTTCTTCCTCCCTCTCCTTGACAACAAATATAGCCCTCCTCTCTCCATTCCCGTAGCCCAGAGATCCCATCGTGACGCCTCACCTTAGGTAGTTTGCTGCGGTGCAGGAATTTGGGCACATTGTCTCTCCCAGAGTTTGGCGAGATCACCTCCCGGATCTCTATGGTGTCATCAGCCAGGAAGTAGTGCAGAACGAGCTCCCGGGGGTCTCCGAACACACTGTCTTTGTCGTCCCAGAAGCAGTAGAAGCGCAGGACTTTGCGGTCGTGGTCGAGGAACTGCTTCAGTGTGTCACGCCTCTCGTAAGGCCGGAGTGGCTTCATGCTTTTCTCGATCTGGATGAGGGACCATGTGAGATAATACACATACATAAGAGACTTCAAATGATTTCTTCAGGGGGAGGTGTTTTTTAATTGGGAATCGGTACCATCAGCAGGGTTGATTGGTTGATCAAAGATAATGATTAAAATGCTGGTTCCAGGGCTTTGAATTTGATGATGCACAATTATTTTAGTTTTATATTGTTGTAAACTTAATACTCTTGGGTTTTTATACGGTTTCCTCAGACAAGATGAGTAGCTTTAAAACATCAGGTTGAATGGCGTATGCTAATATTAAACAATATTTTGATTTAAAGCTACAGTAGGTAACTTTTATAAAGATAACTTTTTGTCATATTTGCTTAAACTGTCCCTATATCCTGACAGTAGTACATGAGACAAATAATCTGTGAAAAAAACACTCCTAGTGCTCCTGATGGTATATGCAAGAATCCAATGGGCCTAAACGATAACAACCAATTAGAGCCGAGAAAGACAGTTGGTTGTTGAGTCTCTTTCCCATGTTGTCAAATAACGATGCTGGGAATGAGACTCAACATTCAACTACCTCCAAGCCACCAACCCAAAGCGTCCTCATATCTTCCTCGGCTCTGATTGGAACCTGATTTTTTCACAGATTATCTGTCTCATGTACTTTAAAGTGAAGGAAATGTGTAATTATTATGAGGCCTACCTGTTCCCGGAGGTTGCTGTAGGGGTCTGCAGGCACAGCGGCACGGTCATTCAGGCGCACCCCAAGCTCTGTGAGAAAGTTTCTTGTGAAAGAGTCACAGTCGGTCACAGTGAATGTGCGTGAGTACAGCACCATCTGCTGGTTGAGGTTAAAATGGAAAATGTTGTAGAACTGGTCATCATCTGGAGGAGGCAGTGGGATACGCTGGCGGCAAATGAGTGTTCCTGCCACAAGGAACAACAACACAGCAGTGGTGAGTGACAAGTAAATGGTAAATGGACTGTACTTATATAGGGCCTTTCTAGTCTTTCAACCACTCAATGCGCTGTACACTACATGCCACACTCACCCCATTCACACACATTCATACACTGATGGCAGTGGCTGCTATGCAAGGTGCCAACTGCTCACCAGAATGGAAACTAATCATTCATACATACATACACCATACACATCATAATTCAGTGAAGGGCACTTCGACATGCAGCGGGAGGAGCCGGGGATCAAACTGCCAACCTTCCGATTAGTGGACGACCCGCTCTACCTCTGAGCCACAGCCAAGTATTAAAGTGCTCATCAGTGAAGTGTACTGTGGGTAATGGAACATTTATGCAGTACATGAAAAATAAGTCTGCTGAACTACATTTACTAGACATTTTTCTGTCACAGACACCTTGAGGGATGCCACTGTTCTTGTACTCTGGCTCCACCACCTGTATGGTATCATCTTCCAGGTAGAAGTAGATCTTACACTTCCTGATTCTGTACGTCTCATCTCGCGCCTGAGGCACAGCTTCCTGAAAGTATGCTTCAAAACACAGAACCTGTAGGTGCAAAAGGGCAGTTAGTTAAATGATCAAATTATGGCTTTTAGTTACATAACCGATCATTAGTTTTCAAGGTTTCTTTAATGACTTGAATAATGAAGAAATATGCAAATGTTAAAAATGATAAACAGATCAGTAACATAGTCCAGGTGTTGTTCTGTACTGTGTAAAGTGAGCAGGGTTGGGTCAGTAGTAATGTAATTTGTTGCATTACAAAAGAACATGTAATCGAACATTAAAAATATTATTAAGCTACTAAAAAGTCTCTCCCCACCTCTCCAAAAAGCAGCTGCCACAATGCAAAAAAGGAATCTCAAGGATGTAAAAAAATCTTATTTTTTGTCCAAAAAAAATCTTGTCAGACATGATTTACATTAGGAAAGTAATCTGGTTTTAATATCTAACTGTGTCTTAATAAAATATTCCAGCTAGTATTGAGCTCTATTGAAGCAGTAACCAGTAATATCCCAGCAGAGGAACAAGATTATTTTACTTATTTAAGAGGAAGACCACTTGCACAACTTCTCAGTTTAAGAGAAAGTGGTCTTGTCCCAGTGTTGGAAATGAAGTAGCTGTTTAGTTTTTCATTGTTTGAATATAGAATATAATAGTATCAGTTTAGCTGATAAATTATTGCTCGATAATAATTGTTATGCAAAACGGTTGATAGCCTTTATGTTCTATGAAAGCTAAAGTATGTTTGTGGATGGACTTCACTAGAAAAAAATAAATGAACATCTGAAAAGTCAGAACTGTTGTTTGTTGTTAACAACAGTGTATCTTTGCTCTTTACATCTCAGCATTTCTTACCATCAGGTGCACATAAACTACAGGTTATGAACTTCTTATTAGAATATGTTATGTTATCGGTATCAGCCATGAGAAGCAGGTAATTGTCGGTTATTGTATCATCTGATAATCCATATTATGTATCCCTAGTGCACATTCTTTAGGTGGAAGTGATGGTGATATTGCCAGAAATGGAAGGCTGTTTTTGAGGGACTGCTGCTGCTCGAAGCTTCCATCTTAGAGCACTTGTCTTAGGAACCAGACACGCTTTTTGTGAGTTAATAGAGCGTTCAATCAACAACATAATCATGTAATCCTCGACAAAGTAACTATAATATAACTATACGTTCTTCACATGTAATCTGGTTAGATTATAGATACTTATTTTTCATACATAATCCAAATGACATGTAATCCATTACTAACTAACTAATACTGTAAATCAACACAGAAACATTTACTGTGCTGTATGTAACATATTAAAGACACTGCTTACTATTAGCTGGAATTTATTTAAATTAGACATGATGCCCACACAGCTGATATATGTGTCTATAACTGAGGAGGTAAGACAGCTCACCTGTTTGTCAAAGGCTACCCATGATGGTACGTAGCTGCCCTGTCCTCTGGGGTAGACTGAATACTTGGGTTTGATCTCCTGGCCGGCTAACAGCTCTCCTCCAATGCCTGGCTTTGCAGATCCCACAAACAAAGGGACTCCATTGGAACAACCGAAATGTTGGGATTTGTGGAATCTCTCTTTCCCTAGCTGTGGAACAGAAGAGAGGAAGTGTTTCAACTGTTGAGCCTTGATAGAATTATCACTTTCTATTACAAACATACTGTAATATAATCATTACTGATTATATATTTATAATTAGTAAGGCAGTGATGTAGTGACATTGATCATTTACTACCGCCAGAAATCAAAAGCAACTAACCTGCATTTGCATAATACTAGTTTAGAAGGATACATTACCCTGGAAATCACATTTCTTAATTTTACATTAAGCTCAAACATTCCATAAAGTCCCTGATTACAAGTTGTTTTAAGGTTTAGTTAACTAAGGTAGGGCTGAACAATTTATCAAAATATTATCAAAATCACAATATGGCCATGTGCAATATCCAAACCACAGGAGCTACAGTGTATTGATGCAGGTAAATGTGTGACAGAACAGCATTCTAATGAAGTACTGTAGTGCTGCAGAGATGCTCTGGTACAGACCACAACAAATGCCACATCAGCATAATTGTTATAGTTTTTTTATTGCCCTAATTTAGGTCCCTCTAACGTTACCACAAGGTAAAAACACTTTTCTTAATCTAACGTGTGTATTTGTCTCTTTAACTAATGCTTTTATTGTATCTGTTGTCTCCCTAGATCAGGGATCTCAAACTGTTTCCAGCCCTCCATCCTGCCCCTTTATTTTAATAGTTTTTACTATAACTTGTATCACCTGTAAGATCGATTGTATTTTATTTTATTATCTCTTTTATTTTATTTTTACTCAGTTCTGTCTCATTATCTTGTCAATCTTGTCAATGATTGTTAGATACACATTTAGCTCAGGAGCTAGCCTGCTAACAGCTTTATTTATCTCTTATTTCCAAAACATACATAGTAGCAGTGCAGTAATGATAGAAATAACAGGGTAAACAATAACAATAATTGAAAAACAAATAAATGATACAGAAAATAAATAGACAAACAATAAGAAATAAAAACCTGCATTCACTTGAATTAAAGATATTCAGTCTCACAGTTCTGAGAGCTTTCTGTTCTGAGCACAAGATACTGACTTAAAATACAACTCCAGTTCTTTCATTAAAACACAAAAAAGAGGTTTCACTTTGGCAAATTTACATTTGTGGATGTAAAACGATGTAATGCAAGAATTATGAGATTAAATATAATTCTTTTTCAACTGAAATGTCACTCTTTAAAAAACCAAGTAGAGCTTAAAGTCACAGAGAATATGAACTTTATCTAAAATAAATCTACAAATATTTGCCAAGTTTCCGGATATACTTAACGTTACATTTCCAAAACAGATGGAGAACAGTCTCAGTATGGAGTCACAAAAGGCACAATTTAGATCTAACGTTAGATCAACGTATTTGAGTGTGATAAAGAAGGATCTAACCGGCTAACATTGATGAGTCATTTTAAATGACACTTCTTTCACCTTATTGAGCCTGCTAACTAGCTAACTAGCTAACGTTAATATACCAGACTGGAGCGTTAGCTGCCGAGCTAGCTGTTCGAAGCTAAAGGCGAAACATTTGTGCGACACAGAGCGAACGTCTTACCTGTTTACTGGGACAGTTCCCGGGTAGAAACGGTAACGCCATGGCTGTGATATTTCAAACAGGTTGTCTTCTTACAACTTTGCTGCTGTGGACGTTCAGCTGTCATTCAAAGTTAGTGGTTGCCATGGAAGCGTTTGTTTGAGGGCGTCTCCGGGCAACAGAAGGGACTAGTACAGTACTAATATATTATGGGATTTTAATCCACGCACTAGTTTAATTGAAAAACAAGGAAAGAAAATAGTGCTTTAAAATGTGAAGTCAAAATGGAAACTGCATACTGTCCATTATAGATCTTGTCCACAGCTCTTACTGTGTCATTATTACATACTTCATTAGCTCTTGTGTCAATGTTTGTTATTAATTCAGTTGAGTTTCAGCTGGTTTCCAGAGCCGGTTTGCTCCTTTCACTTCAGATTTTATTGTTTAAAAATGTTTAGATTTTGGTTAGTTTATGTCCCAGTCTCAAAAAAAACATACTATACACCAATGCCTCCTCATGCTTGCTGACAAATTTAGCCCCAAAACATTCAAACTAAAGCATTTCCTGTATATTTTTACCTTATTTTAGTCTGTTTTGTAAGTACCAGTGGGTTTGCTCCTTTCAGTTTTACTTTTTACTGTAAATCCTGTCCCTGACAAAGAGCCCCCAGATTATTGTTTAAAAAAGAACTAAAACTAATACTGAAACTAATAAAAACTAAACATTTATTTGCATGTTTTTTAACTACAAGTCTAGTTTTTTTTTCTTCTTTTTTCCACTTACTAATCTGTATATACAGATATTTTACACTTGCTTTGGCAATGGAAACCCATGCCAAAAGCCCCTTTGAACGGAATTGAATTGAATTAAACTGAAAGAAGCGACCCCACTCTGTAAACTTAACTGAAAAGAAACTAAATTTAAAAGACAAACATTTTAAATGTATTTTAGATTTGTATATTTAAAACATGAAAGCTATATAAATATAAAATATATAACTGAGCAACATGTTTTAACTATAGAAGGGTGTACTCTCATTTATTCTATAATAATGGGGACAGAAATCTCTGGTGCCCTTTAAAGTGAAAGTAAAACTATGCTCAGATAATAAACGCATGACATGCAATGACTCTAAAGGAATCTAGGTCAAGAGTAAACAGACACACTTGTACATATTGTCAGAAAATAAATGAGAAATTATTCAAATGTTTTTGTTATTTTTATTTCTTCGTTAAACTTACATAGTGGACTAACCACAACCTTCCCAACCTAAAGCATGAATGTACTGCTAAACAAAATACATTAAAAAAAAGAACTGTAGGGGAGGCTGAAATAACTCATCAAACATACAGCACCTCTACAAAAGGCATAACGATCCCATATCTATCAGCACACTAACACTAGAGAAGACTGATCACGATGTCTGGCAATAAAAAATACACTGACACTGGCACTGATAGATTCCTATGGGCTCCACCTGCCATGTAAAGGTGAATTTAAATCTACTTGCACTCGACTTTGATTGATTGTGTGCAACAAGGCAGCAATAACAGTGCATCATCTTCACTGTGGTACAATATCAGTTTGGTAAAAATAAATAAATAAAAACATTACAACATTCTGATTTACATGTTTTCCAGTCGTTTTTTATGATATGTTGCATTATTTGGCCTGGAGAGTGGAGTATTTTAAGAGGGTCCTTCTGGTCTAACCAAGAAGTTCCACATCGAATGGACAGTGCAGTCTCATGGAGGTACAGTATTAAAGTAGCCAGAAGGAGGTGCAGCTTATGTAGAAACACATAGCTACAAGCTAATCTAAGATCGGTTGCTTTTTGTCATTAAACACTTTAAAACCATCCACCAATGATTTAGAATATTTCCCTATCGTATGTCATGACATCAGAGAAGCACTCTTCTCATTTGGCAGACCCTAAGATGCGAGGCCGAGCAGGAACCCTCCGATGAATCCGCTTGTGACGACAATGTTCTTCTTCACAAACTCTGTGGACTGAAGAAGACAGAAAACATGTTTGAGCATATAAAGCAGTTACATTCTAGACTGACAGTAATTCACACTGAAATGCAACATATATACACATAGTAGCTGAATTAACCATTTAAGTTAAGGTTTTCTCTGACTCTTTAACAAATGAATCACATTAATGCCTCATTTCCACTGCACTGTACACTGTAAAAGAAAAAAACAGTTGAGAAAACTAGTTTCAAGGCAACTTCACTAAATTTAAATTTTACAACTCAAACTTTATATAAATATAAATAAACTAAAAAGACCTTTTGCTGATCTATAATCTTTTGAGGGAATCTACTTTTCCTCTTTAGAAAAACTTCTGTTTGAATTTATATTTTTTAAAAAAAGATTTTACATTACAGTATTTGAATATTAAATTGATACAATAAAAAATGCTATTTTTGTTCTAAAAAATAATTGAAATTACTATTAGTTTATTTCAAAACTAAAATTTTGTGAAGACGGTTCCAAACGACATATACTGTCCCATGCATCTCTAACAGAGATCACAAGAAGGTAAGATGGCCCACTCTCTGTTTATCTGTGAACTTATTTATAAGAGACATAAATAGTATGTCTATTTATGTCTCTTATACCACCACAGAGACACGCTCAGTTTTCAGTTTTTTTAATGTTAGTCAAAGTAGTGCAAAACCAGGGACGTTGCAGTCATATGTTAAGCGTTTTAACCACAAGGCCAGCCACCGGGACTTTACTTTAGGTCTCATTTTGAATGTGTGATTGAAGGATGATTCATCAAGGCCGAAAGCGAAGCTCTGATTGGCCTTTGTGTGACAATCCAAGCAACAACAAAACACAAATATCTTACCTTCTCCACAAATGTGTTTAGCTCCGGGCCGGCTTGATTGGTCCCCTTCTTTAACTGCTTCTTAGCTTTGTTGACATCCTTCTCCACTCTCTTCCAGTCCACCTGGATATAGCCAGTGTTGTTAGCTATCTGGAGAAAGAGTCAGGACAATGAAAAACACATTAGAGGCAGATTCACTAAAAGGATTTTATTCTGTTGAGAGGATACATTTGTGCCCGGTGATGCAAGAATACCTGCAGCAGCAGGAGACCTCCCCCTACAGATGTAGCGGCAACCTTTCCAACCTTCTGGAAGAGATATCCTACACACCTAAAATGAGTCGAGACAGAGCATAAAATGGTACAAGATGTCTCCTACTTCACTGTAAAGTCCATTCTCAGTGGATGTGCACTGGTGGCTTCAAGTTTCTACATCACACTGTACAAGTTGATACTGGACCAGGACTGACTTCCTGACTATTTGTGATGTCACAAATCCTGCTGGTAGGCCCCGCCCCTTAAAAATCTGATTTTCAATGAGCTCAGAGAAACTTTCCACTTTCAGTAGATGAATGTGAAAACATCCTTCTAGTGTCAAACTCTGCACAGACAGCATTCAGACAGCACACTGTAGGAACAATAACAAACACTGATTATGACTGGATCATGATGATGTGACATTTGTTGGGTTCTGTAGCAAACCAACATGTTACATCGGCAGAAGAAGATTTGTAGTCCAGTGAATCTCTGCTCTTCATTATAATGCCGTTTTGTCTCACATTTTGCCTTTATCAAAATATTGCAGCAGGGTTTGAGTTATAATCTGAGGTTTGTGGGGGTCTCTCAAATAACTAACGTTGGGGTGGTGGTAAATAAATAATAATGTAACAGGTGCGCTTTCCATGAGAGAAAGAGAGAGACTGCTACCCTTTTTAGTATCATATGAAAGTAGTTGGACTATCTAGCGCTCCACTAATGGGAGGATGCAGTGTTTTACAAGTAAATCCAATACAATGAAAGCAGTCAATATAGAATTCAAGAGAATAGTAGTCAATGTAACGCAACTTTAACTGAAATAATAATGCATTATTTGTCATTAAAATAATGTATGAGAGACCTCCACAGATGTACAATTTGAATGCTTTCATGGGAGCTCAGACCCATTCATGTGGGAGCTCAGGTCCCACTGGCTCCCACTTAACTCAAACCCTACACTGAAACTTCTGCAATCTGAATAATACACTTGGCTATACTGCAATATGGATTATATTTTTAAATTAACAGGGCAGGCCTACTTCAAACAGGCTACCTTTAAAATCACCAGTGTAACTAAAACGGCTGTGCGGTATGATATCCTAAATCCACCACCAAAGAATTTAAGGGTAGAGAGCATGGAATATGTTTGCATAACTGATAAAATAAAGACAGATGAAAAAATTATCCAAGTGAGTTGCCTAATTTAACCCTGGACTATTTGAGAGCCATTCAAAATGTTTTTTGTCGTGCACATCATAGTTATCCATAAAAAACCAAAGGTGCACGTGAAGGCAACACAATACATTTCCAATGAGAATATTTACCATCCGCTCACTCCTCCTATGGCTATCTGTGTGGCAACGGAGTATTTCTCTGCTACGGGGCCGGAGTTTTTCCCAAAAAGGCGATTCCACCATCGCTGTCGTTTGGCATATTCTGTCAGGTCTACGACTTTGTCGTAAATCTCCCCTTCCAGCTCTTTACACACAAAATAAAAACAGTCAGCATACAATCGCAACGAAGCAGTTACTAGCTAAAAGGATAGGACTGCCATATTAAATCAATCTGTCAAACTACAGCACTTCTTAATTTAACATAACAGTATGAACGCCACACTGCCATAACTTAGTGACAAACCCTATCAGTCCATATGTTTACATGTGTTTTAAGATAGCTAACGATAACTCCATGCATGGCCTCTGTGGGAACTTAGTAAAGTTCTATATAGGCCGGACAATAAGTTAGCATGAGCAGACAAGTAAAGCTAAGCGACAGTTGAAAAGTTAGCTATTGGCGCTACGTCTGAAGACGTCGCGGTTTAAGCGAGAGGGCGGCGGAGCTTTAAGGACGCCCGAATGTAATGTAGAAGTTTAAAAACCTGTTTCATGTGATATTCGTGCTAAGAAAAGTCTCAGTTCAGACAGAGATGTACTGAGTTTAAAGGCCTACTTACCCTTGTCGCGGTTCGCCATTTTGGAGTGCGCTGCTCTGTCCTCAGCTGCCTGCACGTCCGGCGTCATTTGCATACTTTTGACGGTCAAAGTAAAACAGAAAACAGACAGCCCTGCCTGTGCAATGATATCTTCATTTACACACTGTAATAATAAGTATGACACTGAGGATTTTTTCAGAACAAAGGCTTGAGTGCAAAGTGTAAACATTATCATTACTATTTAAATCTGCAGTAGGTTATTTTTTATTTAAAAAAAAATCTTTTTGGTCATATTGGTGGCTGTCCATAATTATATCTAAACCGCTATCAGTGCATTTTTGCACCATATGAGTCAGATCACCTAACACTTGATGTGAGGAGCAGCCAGACTGGCGTAATGGCCGACTGTGCCTACAGTTTTTGCTTTTGTTTGGCCTTATTTTTATTGATTAAAGCTGCTGTAGGTAGTTTCTGTAAAAATGTCATATTTTTGTCCTATTTGTTGAAGCGTTTACATCCTGATAGTAGTAAGTGAGATGCATACTCTGAAAACAAAAGGTTCCTCTGGCTCATTGTAGTGGGCCTGAACAAAAACAACCAATCAGAGTCAAGAACTGTAGATGATTATTGAGTCTCAATGCCATACGTTCTATATCTTTCTCAGCTCTGATTGGTTGTTTGCGTTCAGGTCCAGTTGATTCTTACAAATGCCATCAGAGGAACCTTTTGTTTTCACAGATTATCTCTCTCATGTAGTACTGTGAGGTAATATTACTCATTATTGCAAGTTTGGGAAGAGGCTATCAAAAACAATCAAATGATACAAAATGACTTTCTGCCTGTTCTGATATATAAACCCTGCCTGACAGGAATATCTATTTGTATTTATTGTATATTTCTACTATTGATTGTCAGTTTGGTAAAATAAATTCTGAGGGAAAAGGTTGGAAAAGTATTTGTTGTACAAAAACCAAAAGGCAGGCTATTTGTAATTTTAGGGTGATCAACATCAGAATAGGTTACTATGGATGTTCTACCAGTCTGTAGTGCCCAGTGTCTTCTTCTTTGCTGTGGTGTGTTGGTGAGGTGTGCTGCCAACAAACTAGGCAAGCTGGTGAGGAAGGCCAGCTCGGTGGTGGGGATGGAGCTGGACGGTGTGGAGGCTGTGACTGCAAAGAGGATGAGAGGGAAGCTGAAAGCCATCATGGACAACCCCTCTCATCCTCTCTACACTGAGCTGAGGCAGCTCAGGAGCACTTTCAGCTACAGACTGATCCAGCCCCGAGCCTCAAAGTGCCTCGGACGCTCATTTGTGCTATCAGCCATCAGACAATATCACAGCACCCAACTTTTTTATTTGCACAGTACCTTGAAACATTGCACATGTGCAGTTATCCATCTAGACCCTATTCCACTTTATTATATATTTTATATTTATATTTGATTGTATTTTTATCTTTTCCTACTCTTACTACATTTCCCCTGTGCTGCTATGCCAAATTTGAATTTGCCCTGCAGGGGATCAGTTAAGGAATATATCTTAAAGGGCTAGAACCCAGAGGGTCTGCAACCTTTGTAATGACAATCATTTGGGAGATGAACATCATATTTTGTTTGAATGTAAGAATAAAATTAGAATGAATTATAGAGAGAGATATTTATATATGTTTTAAATAAATGTCTGAACCAAAGTTGTCATGGGACATATAGTGGAGACCGAGTATAGCTAGTGGAGTTCAATCAATAAATGATTCATGAGGAATTATTGTCAGAAAAGAGGTAAGAAATAAGGGAAACAGATTGTTGGCAGATTTACAGCCAGGCAGTCATCACTAGCAGGTATATATATCAATAAAGTGACACTGTGTCCTCCCTGAAATCATCTGTTTGAAAAAGAATTCTTGAATTAAGATACTGTTCCTTTTCTTAGTTACTTACACAGTGCCATTGCATTGAAAATTATAACAGACTATTAATTGCAGAGCCTATCATATTTATTCATATGTAACAGAGAGTATGGATAATAATTATGAAATAATTTCATAGAGTAATAGTTCTGTTTAAGGTGGGAGGATAAGCTAGTAAATTCACTAGAAGCATAAAGTATAAAGGACCATTGACACAAAAGTTGCAAATGATCTGACAACACATTTATTACACATACTACTGTCACATATTCAATAAACGTTGATTACATGGTCATTTTAGGTTCATATTTATTACTTATGTTTTTTATTTGACTTTATACCTCATTTAATGTTTTTAGCTATTGTTTTTATTTATGTGATATAGCTGTTCTATCTATCTAAAAAGTAGGCTACTGTATATGTGCAACGTTGCAACAAACATCCTTGACAGCCACCCCCCATAGACAAAAATGAAAGCAATTTTGACCAATAGGTTGCTTTAAAATGTTGTTACGTAATCATAATATAGCCTGGGTAACCAATCGCGGGACTTGAGGCGGGTCTTGCAAGCCCATTTGATGTGTGCGTGAGCGTGTTCGTCCGCGTGTTCGCAACACATCAACTGGAGACAGCCACGTGACTGCTCATGCCGCCCATTTATTGGTCAGGCTGAGCGGAGGGCGTGCCGACGGTGGCGGCGTGCGTTTGCCTATGTGACACAATTACAACAACTTTGAGCCGCTGGTTGGGGAAGTTTGCGATATATCAAGTAACACTCACCCCTCAAACCCAACATTACATCAACTTCATGCATAAATTGGCACTGGAATACACGCTGTGTTTCGATGCACAATGAGGAGTGTGGAAGGTAACTTGAAGGGATTTCCTTGAGGATTTGGCAAGAATTGCGTTACGCCCCGTTTTAGTCCTGGATAGGTGTGCAACACTTTGGTTGTGATTGCGTTTTGCCGGAGTTGCTCGGTCCCGTCGATCTTCCTCTTTCTTTCCCATGAAATCGTGCGGAGTGTCGCTCACAGCCGCTGCCTCCGCTGCTGCCCGGAGTCTCGGCGTTGCTGGTAATGACGAGGAGAAAATGGCGTCGGGAACAGCGACTGAAATCGAAGAGGACTTTCCGAAGCTAACAGCGCAAGAAAAAGAGAGCCTGGTCGGAACTGACAGGTTAGACGCTCTGTTGTGTGAACACTCTCACTCGCTTTTTCTCTGCAATATGTTTGAGTTTAAAACAACAAATATGATTGCCCCCCCAAGTAATACGGAACCGCCTGTGTGTTGTCTGTCCTCTACTTTGCAGTACACTGTTTGGATTTCATAGGCTTCAAGAAGATGGCGCCAGAACGAAGGCCTTGCTGTTAAAGGTATGCCACAGAATAGGATCACAGTCGCCTCTGTCGTATATGTCCTCTGATTAGTGCATATCCCACCTCAAATGAGCGGCACAGACCTGCCAACGCCACTCTTGCTATACGGCTAGCCGCGGCACACACAAGCCTCAATTTCCCCAACTTTGATGCTGAACCAGCGCCTGACTGCAAAGGCAGCTTTCAATGGTGGAAGTGATTATTGCATTGACACAGCAACATTTACACAGCATATAACTACTCCAGTACATTTCTGTAATGTTCTGTAATATTGAACAGGCCCAAATTAACACACACACACACACACACACACACACACAACAAGGTTGTGGCACAGTTAAACTGCAGGACGATATGAATCTCCACCCTGCTGGACGCGGTGGTGTCATCTGTTGTAGGGAGAATGGGTACCATGCTAGGTGATAGCATTGTATGGACAGTTGTAGATGTGTTTGTCTTGAGGGGAAACAGGCTTGTATGAAGAAAACGCAGTTCTGTTACTTTGCTAGTTACACTTGCAGGCTAAAGTAAGGGGGCTTTAATGTGAGGTTAACAAATGTAACACCTCGCTACCTGTTCTATGCGACATTGGAAAGTGTGACAACACGCTTAAAAAGAGGACAAACGCAATTTCCGCCACGTTTATCGAGAGAAGAGACATGAGATTGACAGCAATGTTGGTAGCGCACTGAACCGTCCGTCCCATCCTCTAACGGCGGCCAGAGTTTGGGTTGTGCGTCAGCCCACTGTGGTTAGCATGTAGCGGCTAACTGTCCAGCGGGTTTCTCCCTCCGTCACTCGCACATACAGCTAACGTTGCTACGGCACCACTTAGCTGACATTATCGAGGGAGAAACAAACACATAGTGGTAGTTTAGGGTTGCAAAATAATGGCTGCTTGACTTGTCCCAAGATGGCGGGGATGGGAAGAAAATACCCAGCAAACGTTTGCTAGCTAACTAGCAGCAACAGTGGCTAGGCTAATCACCATTCGCATAAAAGCATATCACGATGAAGGCGTTCAAGAGTGTGTGTGTGTGTGTGTGTGTGTGTGTGTGTGTGTGTGTGACAAAGATGATTGATTTATGAAGCGGAAGTCGGGGGCACCCGCTTGGCTAACGGTATAGTGCTTGATGCACACATAGCAACCGTGTTCCCGCAGCCCATGTTAACACCGCTCTGCTGCCTGTGCTCGGTCTGCGCCTTCAACATGTGGCTCCTGGGTAACATTGTTTTGTCACGGTGGACTTTCAGGTTAGGCCCAGACATGCACCCACTTATTGCCATTTTTTGTTGCTGTCCTTCATACTCTGCTGGATACCTGGCCACGGGGGCAGGCCTGTGCACACTGTATCAATAAACTTAGAAGATCTGATTGTGGGATCTTTATTTGTGATAGCGTCACATGTATGTGTATAAGGCAGTCACATTAAATCATTTTGCATCTGTGTGGTGGGAAACATCTATATTGATAAGTTCCCTTTATATCGTCTCTCTGGACTCTACCATTTTGAAATGTGGGGGAAGGGATGTATTAGTTGAGCATGAGGTGCTGTTTAAACTGATAGAGAGTCAACACAGCCAAACATGTGAAACCATGAATTCATTAGATGCATTTCCTCACAAGATGATTTGATTTTGATTCTTATAGCAAAGATGTGTCATGGCAGTCAATAAAAACCTACCATTCAATTTTAATTTTGAAACCTGAGAAAATGTGTGGCTGTCTCTAAGTCGTTATAAATGTATAAACACATACATAAATGTTAACACCAAGGCACTTGTTCGAAAGAACAACATTTATTTCAATAGCAATAAACAAATGCAGTATACACTTAGGCATTCATTTTAATAGAGCCTAA